GTGGCAGTTCTAATGGTACCAAAGTATTAACTGATGAAGGATGACCAGATTCTTTAACAGGGAATTGAATTTATAACCTCTCCTTAATACCTTTAACCATCAAGATTGCTGTTGACTTCACTGTGTTACCAATAATGACATTAAACACAAGTTTAGCTCTGGTAAAATCCATCCAGATTTACTGATTTAAAGCTGCATAGAATTCTACATGATGGTCTCATTTGCAATGGGCTCTTTTTTCAGAAGTTCTTTTAAAATGTACTGTGACAACAAGGCATGACTAACACATAAAACAACATTTATATTTGTTCACCAAAAGCCCAATCCTACATGGGACTAAGGGGGCTCAGCACCTTGAATGTAGTGTTCACCACACAACAGGATCTGAACCCCATGTGATTTGAAAATACAAAGACTATCAGAGAACTTTTAGTCATGAACATTTACCTCCATGGCAAAATTTCATGATACTCTTTTTCTTGCTTGACTTAAATTTTCTTGAGCCAAGATAAAAAATCCATTAAAATTAACTTAATGTTTAACTGTCTAGGTCACTTATACATTTATTTATGATTTTTTTAAATAGAGAAGTTCTTCACATACTGTCCATTGCCTTCCCCACCCTACTTTGTATTCAACAGAAATAATGGAAATAGTTAATTATTTCAGTGGTAATTTTTAAAAAAATGTAGTACCCTTAACCTAAGCAGAAAGTCTTCCTTTTGAAATTGTCCTATCTGTTTAACAATGGATGTATAATCTTAGCCTTTTCATCAGATTCACTGTTAGTACCAGCAGCTAGAACATTAAAATTATACAGCATCAGTAAACAATTTTTCAAAGGCTTCAGAAAAAATAGTGTAATAAATATGGAGTCATTGACTATGTTCCTATAAAACATTTGGAGGCAGTGTTACACAAACTGGTCATTAAATTAAGTGTTACTGAGCCAGAGTCTCAGATCATGTAAACAGATCATTGTGTAGATGTGTTGAGGAAAATGGAGTGACACTGATTTACTCCAGCTAAGGAGTTGACCCATAATGTGTAATACCTTGAAAGCTAAATTCTTGTCTGAATTTAGGAGAGGTTTAAAAATATTTTTTCTATACTAGTGTAAAAGTTATGATACAGAAAACTGGTGAACAGGTTATTGTGGTGAAATATTACAAAGTTTAATATCAGTTTCACTGCAAACTTCTATTTCTGGAGGCTATAACTTGGGATCATATCACGAACATGAAGATTAGTGGTTCACTGTCCCAAGACCCACAGAGAACTCTTCCCACATAAGGACCTACATGAGTGGACACAGACACTGGGTAGCTCAGTTAGGGTAAGTCTACACAGCAATGTTATTTTGGAATAACTGACGTTATTAATCATTGATGTTATTAATAACATAGTCTGTGTCTATACTATAAGCAGTTATTTCAAAATAATGTAAAAACAATGTTGAACTGGAAGACTTCTTATTTTGACTCTTGTAACCTTCATTTTACAAGGAGTAAGGGAGGTCAGAGGAATGGTACTCTCTCACAGGTTTCCTGCTGTATATACATGCCAAAAGCCAAAATAAGCTATTTCGACTTAAGTTATGCAATTGACGTAGCTCATTTTGCATAGCTTATTTTCACTTTAGCACTACCGTGTAGACATGTCCTTACATAGGTTCATACCCTGGAGAGATCATCTTGGTTCCCACTGAAACAATGGGCATTTGCCAGGAAAGTTAATACAGACAGGCGTTACATTCCCTTATCTGACAAACATCGTCTGTGCAAGACATACTCCTTTAAAGGAGGTTGTAAACACAGCTGTGGCAATGGATGTGTGCACAGCACCAATCGAGTTACACTGCTAGGGCACTGGAAATGCCAGAGCTCCACAAACAGCACAAGGCTTTTTGCAGACAGCACAGGCCTTTACAGCTTTACACAGATTTCAAAGGATCTGCAGGGCTTGAAGGCAATTTCCATCCCCTAGATGGACTCATCAGGAAGACATTGCACAACAGGAACCTCGCAGAATTTCCTACCTGTTAGACACCTCCCTCAGGTTTTACGATGGGAAGGGACATGTTGACTATTAGTTATTGACTACTTACTCCAGCACTGATGCCTGACATGCAAACTTTCCTCTATTTATTTTGTTCATCTGGCTGCCAAAAGAAAAGTTCAGGCCATTTTAAAACTCTGAGGGACTATTTTCTCTTTTAAGGAAATAACCGAGGACTCTTTTTCATTCATAAATATGATAGCATTAAAAATATTTTCCCGACAGAAAACAAGACTTAGTTATTGGGTTTCAAAATAAGTTTCCATTTAATTTTACTATTATTAATAATGAGGAGATTTTCCACTGTTCTGCCTTCAAGGGTCCTGATCCTACAAGACCTTGAGTGATTTTAGTGGGAGATGTGGGGTCTCGGGTCATTAGTGCATTGCAGGCTTGGGCTCCTGATCACAAACATACAGTCTTTGGAACTAATTTGCTTCCTTGGGGATAATTAGTGGCATTTCTTATAGAATTAGATGCTTTGCAGAGATAAGGAAAATAACGATGATAAGAGAAATAACATATTGTTGGGGCTTGATTCTGCCATATGGTCAGTGCTCTCAAGTCACACTGAAATCAGCAGAAAGTCACAGTGCCTCTCAGTTCACTGAAGGTTCTGCCCCTTAGTCCTTTCAAAGTTACTCGTAACGCTTAGGCTTCGTTGACACTTATTGGAAGATTGGTGCTGTGGAGCTTTATCTCCTATGGGTCAATTTAGAGACCCATTAAATCAACCACTGATCACGCTCCTGTTGACTCTGGTACTCCACCAGGTCGAGAAAAGTAAGGGGAGTTGGCTGGAGAGTTGCTCCCATCGGCCCCTACCCATAGTAGGGGCACAGCAGTAATTCAAATTCAGGTGGATCAAATCCAGCTACGCTATTTGTGTAGCTGGAGTTGAGTAATTTTGTTTGATAGTGGAGACCTGGCCTTAGTTTGTATGCATGAGGCTTTAAAATAATTACTATCCATTTAAATAAGTAGAAGTGTAACCACAGTAACTGTAATGAAGTAATGGGGAGGGAGAAGACCTGCAAAGACAAAATCAGAGGAGTTAAGATTCAAGACCACACATTGTCTTTAAGGTTCACATGCTCCTATCCTGTACCACTGCCCAGATGGGAATGAGCAAAGGGAAAAACTCCAGAATTCTTTGGGAGTCACTCAGTGCTGGCAGTCTCTCAAGTCTCATAGATGTCTGGAGGGGGCAGAAAGTACTAGTGGGAAGGCGAGTGATGGGTTGATAGGGGATTCCATGGGAATCCTTGTCCCCATCCCACTGAGCAGTACACCATGTGGTTCAGAGACTCCTTTAAGTGTTGAGAGGAGCACAGAATCAATGAAGTTTCAGGGATCCAAAACTTGGGGGCCATACAGAACTGGCTCTAGGGATGACTTTGTTTCATCTTCCTCTTGAAAACCGTCCTGCAGCACAACACTCTATATTGTATTATACAAGTGTGTGTGTGTGCATGAAGGACTGTGCCTGTTTGCCCCCACCCTGCTGTATGTTCTTCTGCTGGCAGTGTCCCCAGACTGTGCTTTACTTCCCGTGACCCATTGTGTGTCCCTCAAGTGTTTTGACCTGCCTCCCCTTCCAGTATTTTGGATCTTTTGGTGTCCTCATCATGCTTTGTGCAATCTCCTGGCTATCCTCCAATGTTCTATGCCATTCACAAGTGATTAACCATGCCCCCAACAACGTTCAGTATCCCCTGGTGACTGTGTTCTTAGCATGGCTTCTCTGCTGCCTCCTCACCTTCTGGTCCTTGTATGCCTCTTGGTGTCCTCTGTCCTGTCGTGTCCCTACTCTCTTAGGGGGTGGTCTCCCCAACAGGGGGTGCCTTTTGAGAGAGGTTGGTGGGTGAATTTTGCATCCTCCCATGTGCTTGAGAGGAGACATTTCCCCCCACTTCCAGTGATACTTGAGAAGTGGGACTTTTTCATTTGGCTTCCCTATTGCTAAATCTGGTAGCACCTCTGTCTTTCAGTTGGTAATTGGCTCATCAGTTGTTAAGAAGCCTCCCAGCAGAAGAGAAAAGAGTACCAGACTTAGCCAGTGGTGGAGGAAATGGAAAGTGTATAACTCTCTCAACAGTCAGCACGGACTCCCTACTGGGGAGATTAAAGCTAAAGAGTGGAAGTAACACAGACTAGGACAGAGGATATGGGGAAGTACATAGGGACTAAAGGAAACAATGCTGTGACTTGAACTACCTTCCCTTTACCTCCATTGCTTTCACTTGGTCACAGACTTAAATCTGGAAGGGGTAGTTTGGGAGATTTTGGAAAAGGGTGAGGAAAAGACACCTTTGTTCCACCCTGCCTGAAAGATGGATAAATGTTCCTTCTCTCCCTTTCTTCCTAAGTTATAGCATCTATGGGAACTCCTCATGTGGTTGGCACAGGAGGCCCAGTATGCACACCTTGCACCCTCTTTCGAGAGAGGGATGCAAATGAAGACATTCGAAATTGCAAATGAAGCTGGGATTTAAATATCCCACACTTCATTTGCATAATTGCGTTATGGTATATTTCGAAATAACAGATGCTGTTAAGACACGGTTATTTTGAGATAAAACCCTTCTCTCGAAATAACCCTTATTCCTCATACAATTAGGTTTACCAGTTATTTCAAGAGAAGGGTTTTTCTCTCTAAATAACCTCATCTTAACAGCGTCTGTTATTTTGAAATAGCACTATTTCAAAATAGCGCCATAACGTGGTTATGCAAATGAAGCATGGGATATTTAAATCCCGGCTTCATTTGCAATTTCAAATGTCTACATTTGCATCCCTTTCTTAAAAGAGGGTGCAAGTGTAGACATACGCTTAGAGACTAACAAATATATATTATATATATATATAGTATCATGAGCTTTCGTGGGCAAAGCTCACTTCTTCAGATGAGATAAGCGGGTTTTGTCCACAAAAGCTCATGATACTTTATATTTGTTAGTCTCTAAGGTGCCACAAGACTACTTGTTGTTTTTAAAGTTACAGATTAACACAGCTACCACTCTGAGACTATCTATACTCTGTGCCTTCACAGAGGGAGATGTGAGGTCTCAAGTGATTAATGCTTTGCCAGGATTTAGGCTGTGAATCTGTTACAGTTGGGGGGATTAAACAATGTCACTTAGGGTGTCTCCAACCTCCTCTTGGCACTACCCACTTGTGGCATATCTCATATTTGAGGAGAGCCACAATTCCATTTAACCATTGCAGGACCCCCCTGTAGATTTGTTCCCTGCTGAATTGCCCACTCACTTTTTTCCCTCACTTTTTCAATGTACAGTATTTCATCATATGTTCTGTTTCAGCACACACTTGAGCTCTGCCTCCTCCTAGGTTAGCTGTATGTCTTTATCAGGATGAACTAAGGATGGATGGTCATTCCCGATTTTCAGCTTCAGTTCTGAGTTAGCTTGCACTTGTGCAGTCAGACCTTTGACACTCTCTAACTGTTCCAGTTAGATGGATCAATTCCAGGAATCATCAAATGTGCAAGATGTTAAGCTACGCTCAGGATATTAGGAGTGTCTCCAGAGATGGCCTGGTTTCAAAGAGGCCCATTAGAGAATTCTAGAGAGCACTTCAATTTTATCCTTTTGGGTGAGAATTATTTTGTGATGCAGGAAAATGGGTGGTGGGGCAAGAAGCATAATAACTTGAATAACGTAAGTCTTTCAACAATAAATCTCTAAGTCCTAATATCTCTGTACATTATGCAATTGTCCAGACAACTTATGCTCTGTTTAAAAAAAAATCCACATTGTGCTGCTATTAGTAAGGTCTTCCTAATAAATATCATGTTAATAACAGTACAGGCCACATCTGGAGGACTCAAGGTGCAATCTTCTAAGATAAATGTTTGTGCCCATGTTCTCCCTCTGCAAGGGAGTAAGTGAAGATGTACAGAGATGGGATTTGACATGTTGTCAAAAGGAAAAGGCACGATCATGAAATATGACTTCAGTGAGAGCTGAGGGCAGTGAGCACTTCAAAGGAGGTGAATAGCACCTTTTAGGATGGTTTCTGTGCTGCCAACATGCTCACATGGCTGTAACCATTCTATTTTCAACAATTGTAATTCTTAAATTATAAAGATTTAACAGGCTTGCTTTGTTTCCTTAAGGAAAAATTATTAACATGAAAGATATTGCTAATTCTTTCTAATTAGACAATCAGCTGAAATACATATAGATCTTGATTCAGCCAGGTACTTGAACACATGTCTAACTTTAGCCAGGTACTTAAACACATGTCTAACTTTAATCAGAAGAGCAATGTCACTGAAAACACATAAGCACCTTGCAGAACTGCGGAGATAGGTCATTGTAAAAACTGATTTACAAATAGTTTCACTACAAATTCACTTCTCATCCCCTGGAACTCTGGGCAGCTTACTTGGCTTGCATTTTTTTAAAAAAATGTAACTGAACTGTTTACTAGATGGTATAGTTTCTTTGGAGTGAAGGAAGATGACTAGTCACACACCATCAATGTAGTTATAATACTTTTGGCAATAACTGAATACAGCAAAAAATTTTAAAGTTTTTTTAAAGTTTTTTGATTCTAAATTCTAGTTGCATTTGTGTACAATAAAATGAATCTACAATACTGTAAGTAGCCATACTCTTTAATTTGACATGTTCCAGAAATTATACTTACAGTGTATTAAAATATGTGAGTACTCTTATTGCAAAGTGTCCTGTATAATGCAGGTTCGCCACTATAAAATCTTCTCTCTTGCTTATATTTCAGTCATTCTAAATTTAAAATACCAGTATACAGTACTAAAATGGCAGAATTAAAGAGTTTAATATAAAAATATCAGCACAAAACTCCTTTTTAAATTGTTTATTGTGAGCAACCCAAATGTCCCTTTAAATTATATTAGTTGTATTATATTAATAGACTTTGAACCCCTACAATTGCTAACTTATACCATTTTAGGTATTTAAATGAGATAAGAAATACTAAGTAAGAAAAAAGGAAGTATTCAAAGAGTTAAACTGTTTAGTAATAACAATTATAACAATAATAAATTCGTTTTCCACATCTTCTTCAGTTCAAAATCCAGCTTTGAGACTGAGGAAGGCTTCCAAATCACATCAATTAAATAAGAGTGGTCCTTTTAACCAGTAGCAGTTTGATTACCAATGACTCGAAGAATCTCTTTGTGAATGCCTGCTTCTTGTGTATTTATACTTGTATCACCCACTTGGCCATCTTCATAACTAAAAAAGTAGACAAAAATAAAATTGTAATCCACTCTATACATTATGCATAATTATATAATGTACAATGCTCTTTATTTAAATACTAAGCCACGAATGTTATTGGTAAGTGTAAACTCCAGGGCTGCGTCTAGACTGGCATGATTTTGCGGAAATACTTTTAATGGAAAAGTTTTACTATTAAAAGTATTTCCGCAAAAGTGTGTCTAGATTGGCACGGATGCTTTTGTGCAAAAGTATCCATGGCCAGTCTAGACACGATTTTGTGCAAGAAAGCCCCGATCGCCATTTTAGCCATCGGGGCTTTTTTGCGCAAACCAGTTCTTCCCTGTCTACACTGACCCTCTTGCACAAGTATTCTTGTGCAAGAGGGCTTTTTCCCGAGCAGGAGCGTGAAAAAATTTGCGCAAGAAGCACTGATTTTGTACATTACAGAAGAGCCAGTGCTCTTGCGCAAATTCAAGCGGCCAGTGTAGACAGCTGGCAAGTTTTTGCCAGTCTAGATGCACCCCAGGAGTGTCAAGCTGTTCGGGGACAGGATTCACCCTTGCACAGAAGAGGCCTAGAGTTCCAGCCAGCCAAACTGCAGTCCAGCAGCACCTTCTGGGGTTGTATGACTGTCATCCTCTGGCTCACTGAAAGCCCCTGGCTGCTCACTACCTGCAGAAGGTCAGATGTGAATGGCTTCCTTTCATTACTGTCAGCAGCTATTAGGAACCTTCTGGAGTGGAGTGTAATCAAAGCACGTATAAATTACTGCACATTACACTGCAGTAATTTATCCTTTGGCTATATTGGGGATTTGTTCTGATATGAGCCTGTTTCAGCCAGTCACTTAAGGTACGTCTACACTTAAAATAAAAGACCTGAAGCACAGTTGTGGCTGGCCTAGGTCAGCTGACTGAGACTCATGGAACTCAGTCTGCAGGGCTAAAAATTGTTGTGTAGACATTTGAGCTCAGGATGAAGCCTGGGCCCTTCCCTACCTTGCGGAGTCTCAGAGTTCAGGCTTCCAAGTCACGCCCAACTATCTACATAGTTCCATAGCCTAAGCACTATGAGCCAAGTCAGCTGATCTGAGTCAAGTTGTGTAGCCATACCTTAGAACAGTGGTCCCCAATGTGGTGCCCGTGGGTGCCATGGCGCCTGCTGGGGCATTTATGTGTGCCCGCCGAATGATCTTGGCCAGCCCTGCCCGGGGCATGTGGTGCCGGCCCCGGGCACTTGGTGCATGAGCAACCCCTGTCACGGATGCACGCGTGGCCCTGCCCCCGGACGTGAGTGGCCCCACCCCCGGGTGCCCGGCAGCCCCAAAAGGTCGGGGACCACTGCCTTAGAATGCTGCATTTGGGAAATTTTCAACTGCAAATATAGTAAACCAATATAGCTTACGCCTGCTTAGAACTGGAACAACAGGTACTGGTGTAAAATGCACTTTACCTTGTCTACACTAAGGCTACGTCTACACTGCAGGCTTCTTGAGCAAGAACTGTTTTGCGCAAGAGTTCTTGTGCAAAAGGTCTTGCGTAACAGCGTGTCCACACTGCCATGTGCTTTTGCGTAAGACATGTGCTTTTGTGCAAGAGCGTTCATGGCAGTGTGGATGCTCTTTTGCGCAAGAAAGCTCTGATAGCCATTTTAGCTATCTGACACTGTTGCTTGTCCACAGTGCCTTCTTGCGCAAGAGCTCTTGCGCAAGTGGACTTATTCCTCCTGGGGAGAGGAATAACTCTTGCGCAAGAAACCCTCTTTTCTGATGCTTTACTGTAAATTTACTTGCGCAAGAACATGCGTGCAGTGTAGATGCTCTGTAAGCTTTTGTGCAAGAACAGACATTCTTGCGCAAAAAGCCTGCAGTGTAGATGGAATGTACATAAACACCAGTGAGTGACCACCAATCAGGGCAAATAAATTAAAAATAAATGGAGATTGCCTATCTCCCAGAACTGGATGGGACCTTGAAAGATCATTGAGTCCAGTCCCCTGCCTTCACAGCAGGACCAAGTACCACCCCTAACAAATTTTTGCCGCAAATGGCCTCCACAAGGATTGAACTCATAACCCTGGCTTTAGCAGGGCAATGCTCAAACCACTGAGCTATCTTTCCTCCCAATGAAGACAGAAGTTCATTTACTACAAATCTGAAATCAAGGTAGCTCTGGAAGAATGCAGGGATTCATGTGGATGGCTCTCTTTGAAGGATGAAGGCCTATGTCTACATATAGTGATCTATGTGTGAAAAGGAAATACCTGTTTTACAGTTAGAGTACAACTTAAAGATATGTCTTACTTTTGTATCTCTATTTTTTACTTCATTGGCTTTTCAGAAGTACATTCTAGGAGGGTTGTTTGTCGTTTTAGGTCAATACAGTGATACCCCTGCTATATTGTGACATTAATATGGAGTGGGAACAGCTATAGCACTTCGTCTATGATTCTTTTTTTTTTTTGCTTATTATAATAAAAGGTAGAAGTAAAGTAATATATTGTTACTGATCTAGCGTACATTTCCTTAAAAAGTCTAATGCTTGAAAAATTATAAGGAAAGCTTTTTTTAGTCTCTTAAAAGTTGTTTCCCCCCCCCAAAAAAAAACTCCCATACAAACCAAAACACAACAAAAAAAATTAGGAAACATAGAACTAGAATTTTAAAGCTAAAAAAAGTATTGTACTTACACAAAGAAGAATCTTGTACACACATGATCAGTGTTGGGAACTACCCATATCTCCCCATGTTTGTGCAGATCAGGTGAGGTTATCACTATAACAAGAGAGCAAATACCGAGCAGTGAAAACATGCCTGGAAAACATCATTTAAAAATCATTGTGCTTCTACACATTTTAAAGAGCATTGTGGAAATGTCCAATTGTTTAGTGTGAGTCTGTTGCAAGGTCTAGCATCCTGGAATTGGCTGACACTAGATTTTTTTCTTTTATCACTGACTTTTTCATGTGTTATTTTATCCCCTTATTAACTCCCTCTCTCTACTCTTCCCATTCTCAGGATGGACCTTTGCTAATCAAAAGTATATTTTAGTAATTTTTGCATTAAGATATGATATGGAAACAAGTTCTTTAATAACTGAAATAGTTCTGCACATTCATTTCTACTTTTGAATACCATTTACACTTGGAAAAGAACATTTGGAATATTTAGATTTTTGTTTTTAAACTACTAAAAATGTAAAGAAAATTCTAGTTTCATATCAGGTCTGTTTCCAGGAATTCTAGAATGACATTAGAATCTAACTGCTAACAGTTAGATGTTAAAAATGGCCTTTACAGGCTTCATATATGTATAGAATTTGCTTGTGCAATATTAGAGGTTGAGCTAAAGTCCCTTAAATATTATTTTAAGTTGTATTATCCTGAAAATTCTTCTTCTTTCAAACAGCGTCAAAATATTTTTATATCTGAAATGAAATCCTCATTTTCCTTTACCTGTCATCAAAACATATACGTATTTGCTAGGCCTTTAAAAAATGGCCAGGTCTTTTCAGAATTACTATAATCATACAGATTAGTTATAACTACATGGATTTTAAGCACAAGTAGAGAAAATAGATTAATTTGTGTGTAGTGGTTACTAGAAGAAGAGATTATTTGCCTGACCTATCAGAACTAGGCTGGGAATTCAGATTAGGAGATGTTTGAATTTTGGATACTCACACCATTAACATAGGACTTGCTGAGGCTTTTACCTAGCTATGCAGTTAGATTTTGGGAGACTGATAGAATGGTGATCAGTCACTTTCTACAAGTGATGAGCCCATCTTATTAATGACCATAGGTATGTTTGGGGAACTGATATTTTGAGGGAGTGGGTAATGGTGCTGCATTGAAATTTAATACTCAGAAATAATGTAAGCCTCTGCACACTTGCCAATGTCATCTTATTAAAGAACCCAACTTCAATTAAAGCTTATATTTATTTGCATTTTACACATTCAATCAGGTATAGTGCCAAGAAAGAAATTGATTTTAAGAGATTTTCAGCTTACCTTCACATAAGGCTATGCATTTTAAATTACGGCTTTGCAAAAATTGGGACTGCTGTCCTTTTTTCTGTGACTATAGGATAAAAATGTGGAAAAAATAATTAAAATAGCAAAAAGGAAAAATGGGTAAAATGTAATGTTTTAAATAATTTATTTATCAATAAAGTTTTGGTGGACACATTTGTATTATTGGATTAAAAATGAAATAGTGGCAATTTAAACTACTTTATTCATTAGCAAAGTTTCCACTTCATTAGCAAGTTGAGGGCTGGATATTGGTGGGAGAATAACATTATCAATGAGAAACAATCTAATAAAAGTAGCAAAATTATGGTATTGGGATTTTCACAAGAGACCTACCTGCGGAGACCAGAATCCTCCAATCTGGCTGGGTGAAGCACACAGAGAATCAGTGTAGCCATAACTCTATATCAGTGTTTCTCAAACTTTTTAAGGCCCAGGAGCACCAAACAATAATTTTTTTTATGAGGAACACCAAGGATTTTTTGTTGAGCAGGAGATGGAATCCTCTTTCATCACATAACAACAGGGTACTGTACAACAGTACATTGGCTCTGTAGCACATTAACTGCACCCATCCAGATTGGAGGATTCTGGTCTCCTCCTGTAGGTCTCCTGTGAAAATCCCAGTTACCATATCTTTGGCCAAACCCAACTACTTTACATCCTTAGACTCTTAATTAATGATGTTAAATATCGAGTAATTTACTAGTCGAGTAGTCGATGGAATGTCCATCAACTACTTGACTAGTTGATAGGCACTTCCCATTCCTCCTTTGAAATGTACAGGAGCCCTCGTTGGAGATCTTGTACATTTCAAAGGAGGAATGTGGAACTCAGTGTGCAGCCCAGGGCCAGTGGGAAGTCTCGCTGACTCCAGACTGCACACGGCGTGCCAGCTTTGAAATGTACACGAGTCCTTAGTGGGGACTCTTGTGCATTTCAAAGCAGAAATACCTTCATGGAGCCTGGGATTAGAGGGGGGCCAGTGCTGGCCTTGGGCTCCATGCTGCACTGCTGCTTTGAAATGTCATGTGGAGCCTGGGGTCAGCTGTGGACCCCAGCTGACCCTGGGCTCCACGCAAATGCTGCGGAGATGTTTTAAAGGGGGCAGTGCTGCACAGCTGATCCCGGGCTCAGCTGTGCAATGCTGCCCCTTTGAAACACCGCCATGGCATTTCAAAGCAATGCCACACAAAGCTGACCCCAGGTTCCAAGCGGTGCTGCCCCTCTGAAATGCCGATGCAGAGTTTTAATGGGGAAGCACTGCATAGAGCCTGGGCTCAGCTGTGCAGAGCTGACCATTTGAAATATCCCCTCCGCCTTTGCTGCCTCTCTCTGATAGAGGCAGCAAGGGGGGATATATTGACTAGTCAACTCGACTATCCAAAAAGCATTTGCTTATTGGAGAGTAGACTAGTCCTTAGCATCCTTATTCTGAAAGGTGGCCTATAGAGCATGATGAATTGACCAACAGAGGTTTAGAATTCCTTTGAACAGCTCTCTCACAGCATGTCCCTTCTGTAGTAAGGAACTATGACCATGCATATATGTGTTAAGGGACACAGGTGTTGAATTTCCTCTAAGGATTTAAGCTATCTGTAAGTCCAATGCACACCTATAAATAATTGCAATGAATTTAGTTACGAGTAAGCAGAAATTTACCAATGTAAAGTTTAAAAATTAACACAAAGAAAATCTGTAATGACTTATGAGTTGAACTTGATAGGGTTGCAAACTAATTTTATAGCAACATTTGTTCTAAATCCATATTACACCCTAATTTAGTAAAGACTCCGGAGTTCACAGGCAGAGGTTTGCCAAGAACTGCTACTGAACTAAAGATTCATTCTTTATTTCTTCCCTATTTTCTGTTCAAATAGTTCTGCCAGTGAAAGGAAATGCACATTTGCTGCACTATAATCCGTAAGTTGTTACTACTAGCAACTGAGTTATATTTGATCAATACAGTATCTTTGGATATTCCTGTGTACAATAAATGAGGATTGTTGACTTTCTAAGGATGAAATATTAATTCCTTCCCAGCTACAAAATCCAATATACCTTCCAGACATACAGTTTGATATACAACTATACCTGCAATGCATTACTGCCTTTACTGCTCGAAGCAGGTTCATCCTTGGCTGACACCTTCTGCTGCTTCTTATTCATCCCTAAAGACATTAAAATTACTTCAGTTTATTGATGTGTAAAGCACTGTAAGTACACATGGAGAGTGATGGCAGATACTGGAGTGGGGTCAGATTCCTCTGCCAAATGTCCTAAAATTCTGTTCTCTCTCTCATCACATCCTGCCATCAGTTTGACTCAGTCCCAAGAATTTGCATCACAGCTCCAATGCTTTTCAAACAGCCAAAGTACTTTTAAGCAAGTGCAACAGCAGGTACAAATGAGCTTAAATTTTACTGAATTCAGATTAAGAATGCGCTTAAGCCTTTTGCTGAAAAGGGATGGACTTTAGTTTAGAATTAATTGAGCTGAGCTGCTTATGGTGTGTGACTGCATGTGAGGAAAAGAATTAGAAATGAGTCCATCAACAATTTTAGTATTTTGTCTTCAGTATTTTATATTATTTTAAATGTGATTTTACTTTGAAGTGAGTGATCTACATAACTTACTCTTGTATTTGTTACATGGAAATCATACCACTCTCCTAGATCCATAACATTTATTACCTCTACTATTATTTGTGTAACCATGGTACCAAGGCCCTTAGATATGGATCAGAACCTGATTATGTTAAGTGCTGTACAAACACAGAACAAAAAGCTGGCCCTTAATGCTATTATACACTGTTCTTTATTCCTACATGGCCTCAGTCCAGCAATGCACCTTAATATGTACCTATCTTTAACCATATGAGTAGTCCTATTGACTTAAATGGCAGTATTCTTAAGATTGCAGTTAAATATACATGTAAGTGCTTTTTCTGGATTGGGTCCTATATGCCTATGCACACATATACAAATGCACAGCGTAAGCATACTGGATATAGGTATATTGGAATGCTGTGACCAAGATCTTTAAAAATAGGCAAGTAAAAGCATGCTTTCAAGTTCACATTTAGACTCCTTTCCAAAGTAATAGATGTCACTTGCCAATAACTTTAGTGCCAATAACTCATTCATCACTCATGAAAAATCAGTGACTGTATTTAAGACCATAAATGGGAATTTAGGAGCCTATTTTTGGCATACAAGAGCTTTTTTTTTTTCAAATGCTGGGCTTCAGACAGGAAAAGACAAAATTACTACAAAGATTACTACTATAAAAAAATGAAGAAGGTAAGAAAAATATTCCCCTTGCATTCCCCCAAATGTAGAGTTATATATAAATATCACCTGAGTAACCAAATGATATGCTTGACAATGGACTAAGGTAGATCCCAATTCCAAACATTGCACCATGGAGCTACAAAAAAATGTAAAAAAGGCTTACCATTAATTTGGTAGTTATACAAAAGAAAACAACATATCACATGATCTAAACCAATATGAATACAGTACCTGAAATTAAATTATGTACAAAAGTTCTAAGAACACTTGTGGCAAATACTACACAAACTCTTCTGTATCAAGCTAAAAATACTCTTGCATGTGCCAAAGACCATGACAAATCCATATGTATATCACAGACCATTTCAATTGCCTACTAGTAAAGGAGTCCTTCCCAGTTATAGCTGTAAAACAGTGCTTCCTGTTGTTAGATCTACTGGTGATAAAGGAAGTTACAATGTATTTATGTTGAGATTTAACACTGCAATTGATGAACAAATCAATGTTCTTCCTATTATCAGCAAACAATATTACAAAAAAAAAATTGTTAGATTAAAACTGAAATGTAACCCTTGATCCTGAAAACCTTATATATCTTTATTCATGACAGAGGTTAGCAGTATCAGGGGCATTGTTTATATTATTTTTAAATTAGGTAAATACATAAATGATCGCTGTTCAGATTTGTTCCATAATTCAGTGATGCTTGTACCTAAGTCATGCATTTATACAGGGTTTCCAAGAGCACCTGGTAAAAATATACAGAGTCAGAGTCTGTAAAAGTGCATAACATCATGACTTCAGAGGAACTTATTAGGTTGCAGCCAATAGCTTAAGTAGGAGTTTGGTCATTTCCCCCAATTTTCTCTCTTCCCTCTTTCCCCTCCCTCCTATTGTACTGTCTCGTTCTTCCATCTACTCTCTACCATCACTATTTATCTGTATTCATTGAATCCTTTTGGCTTATTTCTCCTCCTCTGAACTGCCCTCTGTTAATTTTCTCTTTCTTAGCTTGCTCTATTTTGTTTCCTCAATCTCATTCTCCTCCACAAGTTTGTCCTTGTGGTGTTCTCTTTAGCAGCATGGAACAACATCTCCCAGATGGAAGAGGAAACTCTGCATTGGGTACTTTTTCTGCCACTGAAGGTGCAAATGTGTACAGCTTCAGTATGAATCCCTAATCTCACTGAAATCAGTAGGGCTGTGTCTACACTGGCATGAATTTCCAGAACTGCTTAAAACGGAATACTATTCCGTTTTCAATTTTTCCGGAAAAGGAGCGTCTACATTGGCAGGCCATTTTCCGGAAAAAGGGCTTTTCCGGAAAAGCGTCTGTGGCCAATGTAGACGCACTTTTCCGGAAAAGAGCCCCGATCGCCATTTTCGCGATCGGGGCTTTTTTCTGGAAAAGACTACTGGGCTGTCTACACTGGCCCCTTTCCGGAACAGTGTTCCGGAATAAGGACTTATGCCCGAGCGGGAGCAGAATAATTTTTCCGGAAAAGCGGCTGATTTTGTACAGTAGAGCATCGTTGCTTTTCCGGAAATTCAAGGGCCAGTGTAGACAGCTCGCAGCTTATTCCGGAAAAGTGACTGATTTTCTGGAATAAGTGGCCCAGTGTAGACACAGCCTAGGAGTTTAGCTATTGACTTCTCTGAAGCCAGGATTTCACCCTCAATGCTTCAGTAGAACAACTGATTACTATGAAAGAAAGAAGGATATAACTGTGCCACGTAGTTTTTGATCACCAAGATGCCACCTCAACTGCCCTGCTCCAAAAGTACCCTCTGTTTAATGTGTAACCATCTATCTATGGATCAGATAGGAACCCTTGTATCTATTATTTACCTGTAGCCGTGTATTCGAAGCAACAACTAAGCCATTCCTCAGGATGGAGTGCCAGTTTTCAATGTGTGAACCACTTAAAAATAAAATGGAAAGAAGGAAAATAAGTAATGTTTCAAGGCATCCAGAATGAAATTAACCATTTTCTCTAAAACAATGTATTTGGAACTGAAAACCTCTTAACTCTTAGAATTCCTTTTCTTTACATATATTTTCAGATGAACTGCTAGCATTATTTTTACTAATTCCTTTTTCATACTTACTGAAATGCAAAGGTGCTTCCATAGAGATTTTTAGCAGCTCTGAAATTGGATTCTTTGGCTGGTGGACTGCTGAGAAGGAGGAACTGATGGGGAGTGTGCATAAATTTCAATTGCTGTAAATACAACAGCGCATACGTGAAAACATGCTAATGAACATAAACTTATTATATTTTCAGAATTAAGTTCTCCTAAGATAGTGTGCTGGTTCACACAATACACTGTTGTTACTCAATTCAGACATGAAGTAACTTGAAGCCAATCTCATTATTATAGCTTTTACTTAAAATCAAATTCTAAAAATACTTCCCAATTTATGAAGTATATGAAAGATGTGTGAGAAACACTATATCCTAAGATGACCCATGCTGATACCCCAGAAATAATGAAATTCAGCAATTTATTTATGATGTTTTGATCAAAGTGGTGTGGTGTTGGTCCAGGTCTCATTGAATACTTAGAAAAGCCTGCTTGAAGTGGGAGCAATTACTAAGTAAAAAAAAAAAAAAAAATAGCCTCCTGTGTATCTCTTACTGTAATGGTATATTAAAAGTATAAAACCAGGAAATTTTGTGTGGATTTTAGAAAGCTAAATGCTATCATCCAACCTGACCCCATCACACACCCTGAACGGAGGACTTATTGGATCCATTGGATGGTACATAATTCATAAACACATTGCATTTAACTTATGGATAACTGGCAAATTTCTTTAGTTTCTGATGCCTCCCAAAATTACTGTTATAGTGAAATCTGGCCTATATGAGTTTAAGGCTATATCTTCTAGAATAATAAATTAAAGGGTCACATTTCAGAGGCTTGCCAATGAAGTGCTACAGAGGTTTACAAACTTTTGTCAGGTCATATATAGATGATTAGGCTACTTTCAGTAGCTCCTGGCAAGACCACTTCAATCATATGGGAGTTGTGTCACAAAGGCCGAGAAGACAAACTCAATGTCAAAGTCTCCAAATGCACGATGGGGGCTGTTGAGGTGCAGGTCTAACACAGAACTGGTGGATGATGGGGTGTTGGTGATGCTCCTGAATACACTTAAAGGTCCCCCTATTCTTGGTAAGTCATCAACCACTATATTTTCTTTCCCTTTGGTATTTTGTGTTCTTTGCTGTAAATGACCATTTATCATATACTTCAGCTTGCCTGTGTGCCAAAACAGACTGCTATATCCAAGGAGATTATCTTTAACTCCATTAGAAGACTGTTCACACTTGGTACAGGGTTGCTGGAATTTATTTACGGAAGGTACTTTGGGGTGTCTGCTTTGCTTTTGACAATCTGCCCTCAAGGAGGCACTCGCTGTCATGAGCCACCCCAGAAATCATTTCAGATGATTAATACTTTGAATTAAGACTCTGATTTGAAAAGACAGAGATTAATTTGGCATATTATAAACAAAATCAGAGGCATGATACTGTACTTAGGAATGATCAAATCAATTCAAAGAATCCCTTCCAAGTACCATAGCTACTACTGATTCTTTTTTATAGTACTCCTACCTGTATGCATAAAAAACTGCCTACATCTGTAATCCATGTGCTAAAGGGACAAAGGGTTCAAAAGAATCTATATTAAAGTGCAATATTGAAGTAACGAATGGGAACAACAGGATGAATACTAAAGAAATTAACAAGATATTATCAAGGTTATATTGTTTCGTCACACGAATAAGCAGCGTACACACACACACTTCACAAGTGAGATTTTTTAAAAGCACTCAGCAGTGACCTGAATTATTTCTCTCTGGAGTTTATGGTAATGTTCCCATTGACTTAAATGGGAACAAAGTTCAAACAATGCTGATAGATTTTGAAATCTCACCATGTTAATATACAAAGAAAATAACCCCAGACTTACTCTGTTCACTGGTAGTTTCACAATGTGTGATCTATTACTAGAAATAACCCTGAAATAAAAATGAAAAAAATGCATGTATCAAATGGGATAAGCAATAAGAAACTGTCTTCTAAGAAAGTATTGATTAATTGCCATTGCCAGAGGCTAGCTGAAGGTCTATGAATCACATATATTCTACTTGGTGTATGGTGCTGGTAAAGGACTTGATTCAAAATCCACAGGAGTCAGTGAGAGTTATTCCATTAGTTCCAGTGGGCTTTGGACCAGGTAGTTAAAGCTCAGAGAAAATGACAATACTTTTCAATGCCAATATTAATTCTTAGGACCAACTAACACCAAATTAAAAATAATAAAATGATTATTCATTCAACACGATACTGAAATAATTAGTATATTAATGTAAGTCAGTTCTATACCACTGCAGAAGAGGATGTGCAAGCGGGTCCTGTTTATCCATCTGCTTCTTTATTTCCAAATAAGGTGCCTAGAAAATAGTAATTATGCTCTTTACTGCTGGTTAAAATAATTTCATCTATAATAAATGAACACACTGGATTAATCATCACAGATTTAATGACATTTAGCCCTGAACAGTTATAACTGCCTTGACAACAAGAATTACTACAGCTATTCTCTTCCCTGGAGTAGAAGTTATAATCTTATACTTAGCTTCAGAACAGGTATACTGAAGCTAACACTGTTGGTCACAAAATTAGGAAACTGGACTGGAACTTCAGTAAAACAAAGCATCTCTAAAGAGCTCTGTGGTAATTCACTCATAGGGTATGTCTACACTAGCCCCCTAGTTTGAACAAGGGAGGCTAATGTAGGCATTCAAAGTTGCAAATGAAGACCGGGATTTAAATATCCCGGACTTTATTTGCATCTTCCCGTCTGGGCACCATTTTTAAATCCCCTTAGTTCGAACTAACTGCCCGTGGCTACATGCGGCAGTCAAACGTTGACTTTAACTAAGTCCTTAGTTCGAATTACCTGTTACACCTCATTCCAGGAGGAATAACAGTTAACTCGAACTAAGGACTTAGTTCGAGTCAACATTTGACTGCTGCATGTAGCCACGGGCAGTTAGTTCGAACTAAGGGGATTTAAAAATGGCGCCCGGATGGGAAGGTGCAAATAAAGCCTGGGATATTTAAATCCCGGGCTTTATTTGCAATTTCGAATGCCTACATTAGCCACCCTATTTCGAACTAGGGGGCTAGTGTAGACATACCCATAGCTATTTTAAATCCTTCATGGTATTAAATAGGTTCAATTTATATTGGATCAGATAACATTCACATTGAAAACTCAAACTGATTGCATTAGGATTATGAAGTAGCCCTTTCAATCTACTTAGCCCAACAATATTTATACTTCATCCTAGTATAAACATTGCTATCAGATAATATAATGTGCAATATAGTAGCTGAATTCTTTATATTAAATTTATAATAGTATTTTTGTACACTGATGTTTTTTCATTTTTCATTCCAGAATCTAAAAGTATTGTACAAACTTAGATTAACTACACTTTATAACAACTGGGTGATGTTACATCTGTTTAACAGCGTGGTAACAGTGTGGTGCTACATTACTAATGTTCAGTTAACATCAATAGGACAACTTGTGAAATAAAGTACTACTCAAAAGAGGTAGTGTACAAAGGTATCAAAATCTGTCCCAAAGTGAGTATTTAAAAGCTGCACTATTTAAGTCACAGGAGCCCTAGTTCCAAATCCCGCCCAATTTCACTTAAATGAACAAAGTTCTAGTTATAATAGAAATAAAGCGATCACCATAGTACACTATCACAAAATCAGTGACCCTCGCTTTGAAAAATGAAAGACTTGTTTTGGCCTTGATATTTCCTGAAATTCATGAAGCGGGCACAGCAGTTGGTCATTGTTCTGTTACAGTGTTCCATGCCATGGATAATATCTTATTTAAACTTCCAGGCTACGTCTACATTGGCCCCTTCTCCGGAAGAGGCATGTTATTTCCAACTTCGGAATAGGGAAATCCGCGGGGGATTTAAATATCCCCCGTGGGATTTAAATAAACATGGCCGCCGCTTTTTTTCCGGCTGGAATAAAGCCCTTTTCCGGAGGATCTCTTATTCCTACTTCGAAGTAGGAATAAGAGATCCTCCGGAAAAGGGCTTTATTCCAGCCGGAAAAAAAGCGGCGGCCATGTTTATTTAAATCCCGCGGGGGATATTTAAATCCCCCGCGGATTTCCCTATTCTGAAGTTGGAAATTAACATGCCTCTTCCGGAGAAGGGGCCAATGTAGACGTAGCCCCAGTGTCCAGAGTTCCATTTCATCAGTTTCACTTAGTCACTTTCTACATACTGCAGATTTGTTATTTTTATATTGTTGCAGCATGTAAGCAAAAATAAAAGTGCAATGACCTCCTCCACCTAAAAAAGGAACAAATAAAACCAACATCCATCGATAAAATACTATTAAGAAACTAAGACTCTTATACTTACCTGTGTCATTTCTCTTATAGAAGTAATACTATCCAATGCTTTCATGACTCGATCATAATTCTTCTTCTGATGTAATGTAAAATAAAGTAATACATTAAATTCAAGGAGGGTGCTCTTTACATATAAACATAGTCGTTCGGGGCTACAAGTTCATATACTTTTGATATAAAGCAATTAAGACCAATGACCAACGAACTGCCCTCTCATATCTCTGCATCCAATATTATTCTTCCATACCACATATCACCTCATTCTCAACTCAGGATAAAGTCTGAAAGACCAACTGACATAATCACTTCTTTCTAAATTTACTGGAATCCATTGCAAATAAAGAAGTCCACTTTATAAATTAGATCAATTTTTCAACAAATGTTAATAACTATATATGGGCCTGATAGTTATTTAAATACCAGGTCCAGTAGTGCATCAGAACATAGGAGCAGACTGAGTGAAGAACTAGTAATTAATTAGTTAAAAACACCAGGAAATTCTAGTGTGCTATTGTTTGGCCTTTGTTCGGAAAACATGAAATTTGCCTTTATGCAAAGGGCCCACCGGGGAATTTAAATGCTGTGTTGGTTGCATTGATCTTGTGTAAGGTGCTTTAAGAGTACAAGGAATGAATTTCATTCAAAATTATTAGAAAGAAAGTTTACCATTAGATTAGAAACAACATTATTTACCCTGTTAGCTATTGCTCATGAACTCTCTGAAGATAAAAAGTACTACACATTTCAAGTATAAACATTATTTTAAAATGAGCGTTTTAAGAATATGATTATTTTATAAATAGGATGTTTAAAATTGTAAAATAAAAATAAACAGATTTAGAGCCACGTTGATACATTTTCTCAAGGTCAACTTCACTTTGATTTGTGTATATGCTCCCAGATGAACACATTCTGCATCCACAATTTGTACCCAAAACCAGGGAGACTGAAAGTTAACCTCTAGACAGTATATACTCAAAACATATTTTATATTAACTAAAATATTGCACAGGCTTTATGGCTACACTGCTGTACATGTACTATATTGAGAATATAGATGAGTGTAAAGACACATTATCTTGTGAAACTGGACCTGGCTTTGAAACCTAAAACATAGCTAAAAGTAATTATATTTAAGAGAAAACTACTTACCCTTGGATTAAAGGCCAGCACCTGAGGATCATTAGGATCAACTACAGAAGGATATGGCTCAAAAATTACAACTTTCCTGGGTGATTCTAATGCTGATCGACACATGGATACTAATAAGTCTACCACCTAGAAATTAAAAAAAAATCATACATACAGAAATGGCTCTTTCACAAAAATGTTTTTAAATTAAATAATGTATTTTTCTCCACCGAATTATCTTCTGTCTTCCTGAATCATAGAATTTGATTCTTTGATAATGTAGTGTCTTTAATTATAACAATGATGGCCACTGGTTGAATTCTAGTGCTTGATTATTAGTGGATAACTGTAAGTTACAGGAGTAACTTCTTTTTTAATTACTACCACCTGTTGTAATAACAGCCATCTATGAGTGACTTCATTCATATTTTCAGTCTGGATATTTTGAAATTCAATTTAACCCAGTTTTGAAAATCTTTGTGGAAAAGAATGGCTCTGATTCACTAGCTTTATTCATTGGGTAACTTTTACATTGTTGCTGTGCATATTCAGAAGTATCTGATTTTACAAGGAATATAGTTGCATAGTAGTGTAGCTGAAGTCACAGCTATACACTGTGGCTGCGTTTAGATTGGCATGATTTTGCGCAAATACTTTTAACGGAAAAGTTTTTCCGTTAAAAGTATTTGCACAAGAGAGCATCTATACTGGCATATGCCTTTGCGCAAAAGATTTGCTTTTGTGAAAAAGCATCCATGCCAGTGTAGACACACTCTTGTGCAAGAAAACTCCCATGGCCATTTTAGCCACTTGGCTGTCTACACTGGCCCAAAGAATACTTGCGCAAGAGGGCTTATCTCTGAGCGGGAGCGTCCGAGTATTTGCTCAAGAACCACTGATTTTGTACAGTACGAAGTCAGTGTTCTTGCGCAAATAGTCGTGGCCAGTGTAGACAGGCGGCAAGATTTTGCGCAAAAGCATCTGCACCCTAAATTTGAAATAAGAGACTGCATTTTGTTCAGGTATAAAATATTTTTCTACATGTTAGATAAGCTATCTGAATCATTGTCTCCAGATCCTTCAGGAGTCAAATGATATTTCTCATCTCAAAAATATGTATTTTACTATATGTTTGAAGATCTTCCATAGTGCACAATTTCACCTACTGTGGTTTTGAGGAATTTTGTGAGTGAACAGAGTCCAAAGATTAAATAAATATTGTTATGTTGCAGCAATTTTGCTTGAGCGGGAACTTAGTTTTAGCTGAAAAATGTCTGCAGTACTGTGGAGGAATAAGTAGTATATCAAGAAAATTGATAAATCATTTCATCTACTGACAGGAACCCATTTATAGCATACAGTTCATTTATATTATACCAAGCAGGAAATAACATTTTAATTAAAAACTTTGGGTTAGTAAAGCACTAATGACTGGATCCACACCGCACTGAAGTCTTTCCATGAACTTTAATAAGCTTTTGATCAGGCCCTAATCTACAAATCCTGTAAAAAAATTGCTAAAATGGGAGCAAGGTTTGGCCCTAAATATATTCTAATGCAGAGTGTAGTGAGTGGAGCAAATCCTGATTCCTCTTGCAAATTTGATTCCTCTTGCAAATCCTGATTCCTCTTGCACATCTAAATCCTTAGATGCAGCAGAACCATGAGGCAGGAAGAAGGCTCTACAGGTAGTATGCATACCTGTGCACAATACCTAACAACCTTCTCAACTGTGAAACAAGAGTGGGATGGGGGAAGGGCACAAAGACAGTGTTGGTACTACATAGATCCACTGGTCATCGCTCTCCTGGAGAACCGAACTGCAAAAACTATGGCAAATATTTTTTATCTGCAACAGTGGAACAGTTCTTGGACCAGACTGAGGGTTTCTTCTTCCTTGCCTCTGCAGAGATTACAGCACAATTTCAAATGTCTGTTCTATGCACTGATATCCTGAAATTTGCCTCCACTTAGTGCATGTACATGTATTTGTGAATGAAATGTACACTCAGTTTTAAATAAAAGTTGTATCAGAAATTTTGTAATTTGAAACTAAGTTTGAGAAAATTAGATCTAAATAATCACAAAATGAAGAGAACAACTTGTTGGCAGGCATGATATGCTACCATGAACAGAGAAATCCAAAGCTGCAATACAAAATCTATTTAATGAAACAGTGCAAATTAGCTTATTTCTTTCATAGAAACTCATTGACAACGTTCCTTCTATAAAAAAATAGCCTGTTTTGTGACAGGATCGAAAGGATGAGATGAGTTTTGTTAAGAAGGAACCTATGATTCCTCTGATTATTCCAGATGGATTGTATCTTGATTCATAATTCAAGATGTTCTAAAAGTTCTCAGATCAGATCACGCCAGGGAAATAAAAATGTATTCCCTTATGGTACGTCTACACTGCACACCTATTACCAAATAAGCTATTCCGGAAGAAATACTCCAAAATAGCTTACTTCAAAATAGTGCATATACACTACAGGGACACCTCAAAATTAGTCTGGGCAGGCTCCCTGAATGTGGATGTGCTATCTTGATTTAGAGCCCCAGGAAGCAGTAGGGAGTAATTACTTTGAATGGCCCTGGGGAGGAGTTATTTCAAAATAGCAGCAGTGGAGGGTCCACACTGCAGCTATTTCAAAATAGCTATTTCAGAATAGGCATTATTCCTTTGCAGAAGTCAGAATAAGTCATCCGTTATTTCAAAATTATTTTGAAATAACAGAATGGCTATATAGATGGCACATTGTAATTTCGGCATAATGGCTATTATGCTGAAATAATGTTGCTGGGTAGACACACTCATAAAGAAGTAGAATGAAAAAGAGGAAAGGTAGAAGCAATTGTTCAGGTGCGAATCACACTGTTTTCCCTCTCCTCTGCTATATTCACATAAACAAGTAACCTTTTCCCGATAAAAAATATTCTGGCAAGTGAAATAATTAGATACTTCGTATGTAAAGAACGATAAAGCTATTTTAGCAGTTCCTTTCATCAGGTATTTAATGAAAAGTTTAAAATCTACAGTAAATACTAAGATGCTATATTTTCTTCTGAGTTTACGACACTTACAGACATGGAGAACTTTTAGGTATCTGTGCTGATTCTCAGAGGAGTGTAAGGGTATGTCTATGCTTCGAGCTGGCAGTGTGATTTTTCAGTGTGAAGAGACACACTTATGCTAGCTCTCACCGAGCTAGTGCACTAAAAACACAGTGTATTTAAGGCAGCATGAATAAATAATACCTAGTGGAGGGGTGGACAAAAGGGTCTCCATGGGCTGGATTCAGCTCGCCAAGTGAGTTGGTCTGGACTGTGGAGGCCTTCCGGCTCCCGCCGCCTCCAGGCCAATTAGGGCCTGGTGATAGGGGGAGTGCGCAAAGTCTCCTCCCACCCTGCCCCTGCCCTGCAAGGAGTGCGTGGCACTTAAAAGTGCTGCACACTCCTGTCAGGGTGGGAGGATGATCTTTGCAGGATGAGGGCAGTGTGAGAGGAGACTTCATGCACTTCCCCCACCCCCAGGCCAATCAGGGTTTGGGATTGGGGAGTGTGAGAAATCTCCTCCCACCCTGCAAGGGGCTCAGCACTTAAAGTCAACCGCCAGCTGCTGCTCAGCTGGCGGTTGACTCTAAGCATGGTGCTCCCTTGCAGGGCAGGGGCAGGAAGTGAGAGATTTCATATGCCCCCCCCCTCCAGGCCCTGATTGACCTAGGTGTTGCAAGGGGGAGTACATGAAGTCTCCCACTGCCAGGGGCACAGGTACCTAGAGGGAACTGCCAGCTGTTCAGAACAGCTGGCAGTTCTTTCAAGGAGGGGAGGAGCAAAGACTTTGTGCGCTCCCCCACCACCAGAGCAATCAAGGTCTTTGGGTGGGGAAGCAGGAAGTCTCCTGGCCCTGCCCCTTCTGCCTGAGACACCCCCTTCCTCGGTGGCCAGGGGCCACTTCAAAAATTTCTGCATTGGCCCCCAGTCAAAAATTATTGCCCAACCCTGACTGAGCGTGTCTGATGAGCATGAACACGGGGCAATTAGCTCCTCCCGTGCTGCCACAAGTACATTCTACTTTTAGCAAGCTAGTATGAATATGTGTCCTCAAGTTGGAGATCGTATGTCCAGCTAGAAGTGTAGACATATTCCAGGAGAGTTCGATGCCCAACTCTTAGGGAAATTCTAATCTTTCTCCCTAGCACCCATCCTCAGAAATCCTGATTTTTATTTTTTGCATAAGCCTGGAATTTAGAAGATATGAAATGACATGCAATTTAAGATGGGAAATGTGGATTTTTCATGAGGCCGCAGATATATTGTGATGTAAATAACTCAAAGCTTGGAAAGGTCTACAAGAAACTTAATTCACTATTTTACTTCAGGATACCTGCCCTGTACCCAATCTTGCTTGTAATTAAATCAATGGCAAAACTCCTACTTGGAACAGAATCAAAACCTAAATCCTTAAATTATGTGGCCCAAATCCTCCAATACAGTGTAGTACTGCTCCTTTATGCCACATAGCTGGGAATTTTTATTCTAATTTTGGACTTGTTAACCCAAACATGGATCACCTCAGTGTAGCAGCCTCCTTCAGTTCATAGAGACAAAGTCATGCTGCTGGCATATTGCCATGACATGGAGCAAGGGGGCAGGGTTTGAATTCACTAACCACCACTGATTCTCTCTGGGACCACGGCAGCTGGTATAACACGGAGCAACTTGAAATCTTCTCTAAATTAAATAGGACTCTAGGGTAGTACAAAGCATGCTCAGAACCAAGGGAGTTGCCATTAAACTTTCCCCTTCCCCGCCTTTATCCCTCAGAGATGTGCTGTATGTGCTCTCCAGCATAGCTTAGGATCAGGTAATTGTTTCTGAAGACTGACTGGAATAGCACCTGCTTTTAGGACAGGAGCTGGGAGTGTTATGGGAGTTACCACTTAATGAGAGTCACCCTAGGGAATTAATTGCAAGGGTAATAAAAGAAAGAGAAGAATTTCAAAACTTGGTAAATACATTTAGCCTCCAAAATGAAAGAGTCTTATTTTCAAAAGTGCTAGCTCCATTTAAAGTTAATTTAAGTGGGCTAGTGCTCATATTTTTGAAAATCAGGCTACTATACACTTGGTTTTGAAATCAAGGAAAGAATATAGCAATCGGTGTGCAACACTTCATTCAGCCCTCCCCTCCCCCCCGGGGTTTTGTAATGAATACTGCCCTAGCTTGTTAAAATTCTTAAAAAATGTAATGAAATATAATTAAAAGAAAACTTGGAAGATATAAATTAAAACTATTTTCTGAAGAAAAAATAATTACAGGTAAGGAGTAATATCCTGCTAATACTTACAAACAAATTTAGAGTAAAAACCCAAAGCTATTTTAACAGGGTCGCTCCTCTGAATGGAGAAAAGAAATCAGTGTAGTAACAATTCATCAGGACTATGTCCACTATTATGTAATAATAAAAGCAACAGAGGTACAATGGATACCTGTATCCCAACACTATGAAAAGAAGAGAGCTTTGTATTTACTTGAGAGTAACAAATGATCCTTAAGGTAAAATAGGAATTATCTCCAACAAGGTATATCGAGTGTCCAGTTCATTTCCCCTAACCAGGAGAACAAATTCAACTGAGCAGAAGAAAGAATGAAATTTTCAAAAGCACTTGGTACTCGCCTAACTCTGCTGCCATTTAAATCAATGGTAAACATCTCATGGGCTTCACAGGACCAGAATTTAGAGACTACCTAAAGATACCTTTTCAATATCCTACCCATACATTAAAATATGTAATCATGTCTCTAGTAGTCACAGAACACTGTGAAGGAATACGTAAGTTATCAAAGAGCAGAGATGAAAAAATTAGCAAAAACACATTCATAGAAATTATTGGAGGTACTATACAAAATTAGATACATGATTAACATTATAGGTGTACCTGAGCCCCAGTGGCAATTTCATCTGCAGCTTCATTCATTACTCCCAAAGTTTGGAAAGCAAAAACACATAACTCCCGTTCACATACTGTGGGCTAAGGAGAAAACAAAAACAATAAAATGTTAATTGTTTTTATTTCAGTCTGTACCTATTAATTTTTCTATGTAACACAAAAAATATAATTATAATCCATGTGTATTCGTACCTGCTTAATGCTATTCTTATTCCTGTAAAAATATATTAAAACGTTGAGAGCAAATATCAGTAATATAGGGGAAATTGCATTACAGGGATGTTGTAACAATCCCAAAATCAAGTAAATAAACTCAAGAAATTCAGAGTTCTGGTTAAATGAAATCTAAACATCTTAAAGTTTCTGCCAGAGCACCCAAATAACCTTACTCTCTCTGCTCTATCAGATTCTTCAAACTTCCCATATAATTAAAACTCACTGAAATCTTTTCTCTGAATGATTAATAGTAATTCTTCACTATTCTTCTTTAGAACTGAACATTTTTCTCATCGGAGTCTGCGTTGTTGTGTTACTGATATCATTTGAGCCAAATGAAAAAGTCTGACAGAGAGTGCTAAATTTTTTAAACACTCACACTTAAATGTTAATTCCTAAACTAATTAAAAGATTTACTTGTAAGTCCTCAGAAAATACATTCTGTATTCATAAAATAACTGCTATAAGTTTGAAAAAGATAATTCTGTATTTTTCATATATAATGAAAGGGTTGACTCTCTGCTTTTAAGTACAAAATTCAATTTGTCCTTAACTATGGAGCTGTGATCAGGACCATTGCTAGAGAGTTGAAGGCACTGGGACAAGCCCTGCCTCTGTCCCATCTCTTCTCGTTCCTAATCCATCCCCTCCCTGTCTCCACTCCATCCCTTCCCCCAAACTCCAGCCCTACTCTGCCCGCACTCCACCCCCTGTAATCCCCACTGAACTCCTCCTGAAAGTCCCCTCCCCTGAGCATCATGACCTGGGGGAGTAATGAGGAGCCCTGATGCTGGAAGCAGGGATCAGGTTCCCCTGCGGAGTGACCCAGCCCGAGCCTGTTCTGTTTCAACATCTCTGCTTCACCACTCGGTGACTGGAGGGTGCAGCTGCTGACTGAGGGCCCTGCTTTGAGGGCACAGTACAGAAGTAAACGTAACATGGTATTGGAATGCTTACTTCTGTGCTGCTGCTAATGGTGTGTCTGCCTTCAGAGGGAGGCTTCTGGCCAGCAGCCACCAGTCTTCACTCACTCAGCTCTGAAGGCAGTGCCTCTGCTAACAGCAGTACAGAAGCAAGGGTATCAGTAGTGCTCCGCCCCCATCTACAACAAACTTGTGACTTTCCCCCTTCTGCCCCCCAAAAAACCCTCCTTTTTGGGTCAGGATCTCTACAATTGAAATTTCAGATTTAAATAGCTGAAATAATGACATTTACAGTTTTTTTAATTCTATGACCAAAATGGACTGTGAATTTTGTACGGCCTTACACATAGTAAAGGTCTCTGGTGTGCTTTGATATGCTGTTGTTTCAAAGAGCAGCATGCCAAAGTATTCTATGAAACATGTAGTACATGGGACCGGGGTCCACAAAAACATGTAACGAGCAGAAGGCAAGAGCATTGTAGTGGTACACTCCACCTTAGAAAGCCTGTATGTAGATTCACATATACCAAAAAAGAAAAGAAACAAATCCTCAATATAATTAAGTTTTAATTAAAAGAGAATAATCTCTTGTTTTCCCAATAGACACATTTTATTAGCAAACCTTCACTCATTACTGAAAGATTACTATTAGATTCACATACTTAAGACACAAGTTGGTCTAAATATACACAGATTGGTGAACAATCAGTTGAGGCAAATAAACACATAGGTTAGATCCCTTCTTGGAATTTATTGTAATAAACAAGAAATTTCTACTTCAGCAGGGAAATGGTCTAACATATGTTTCACTTACTGCTTGGTGAGTACAGGATATTAAACAATTACTTATGAAACAACATAAAATTATAGCAAGCAGGAAGCCATTATATCAGATACTCTTGAAACACGGTTTTTCACTGCCATGACAACACAGGAAGAATATCTATAAGTTCACATGTTTATGCCAGTATCAATAGAGATCACTGAGCAGAAATGAAAAATTGACCAAATGCTGCCTGAAACAAATGTAAAATTTAGCTGGATTTTGCTTCAAGAAATTATTTTGCCAATTATAGATATATGCTATTGTTCTGCTCGCTATTTTTCCATAGTCCTTAAATTATGCACTGGTTTGATTTCAAATATTTTTTATTTAAATGACCTCCTGAAATCTACAGCACTGAAATATTTTTTTCACTGCAGTTACTTCAGAAGAGCTATCATCTTTCAGGTCTAATAGCATGTCACATATTTGATTTATTTTATCTGCTATGTTACGTTGCATTAGGTAGCAGACTAAGCTTAACATGATCCAATTCACTGTGCCACGGCACGCTAGACAAAAGGCATTTATTATTGCCACTATTCCTATCCTAACAAATTTCAAAAGGTGACTTATCCATTCACATTAGAGGGGATAGAATAAAGAATCCCTATCTTGACAGTTATGAATAACCAAGTGTTCTCTGATTCAGTTTCACTACACAGTAAGGACAGATAAAATTCAGCTCTGCTTGCCATAAAGCAAAAGAATTCACAAATAGTGTTCTGAATTTGCTTTGTAATCTGCCCCCCTTTAACAGTAAGCACAGGTTGGACCTCTCTAGTTCAACACCGTTGGGACCTCACCAGTCCCAGATGAGGGATTTTGTTGGACCTGGGGAGGTCATATCTGGTCTCCCTGCTACTGCCCCCTGCCCTCCCAGCCCTGGACTGGCCGCTGGCCTCCTCCCTCCATCATCAGCCCCTCTTCCCTGCCAGTCCCCACCCCCCTTCCCTGCTAAGTCAGGCAGGCCATCTCTGTGCAATGGACTCCTGGCTGCGCCTCACAGCCAAACAATGGTGCGCCCGGCTCCTGGACATGCTGGGCAGCCCACTGTGGTGATCCAGGCTCCTGGACGTGCTGGTCAGCCCTGCTGCAGCACGCTGGGCTCCTGGACACACCAGGAAGCCCTGCTGCAATAAGCCGGGCTCCTTGACATGCCAGGCTCCTGGCCCCACTGAGCAGCACTGCTGCAGAGCACTGGGCTACTGGCCCCTCCAGGCAGCCCCACTGGGTTGTACCTTACAGCCCAGATGTGGCGTGCCAGACAGCCCAGCTGTGGGGAACGGATGTTGCCGTACGAGGGAGTCCCGGTTAACAGAAGTGCAACCTGTATAATAAGTTAGATGACCTACAAAAGGGGAAAAATTGGGCATGTGCCCCTTTTGTTTCTTCTTCTTTTCTCTGTGATGACTAAAGGGCCTGTATAATCAAAGAAATCATGAGATGCAAGAGAGTGAAAGCTGAGCTGTTAAGTGGTGATGGGATTTTAAATCAGGATGTAAGACATTCTTTGCATTTTATTTGTTTTTGCCAACTCCTATTCAACTTCAATGCCTAATAACATTTTGAAAGAAGGAAATCTATGTTAAAGATTCCATACCTTTCAAGGTTTTAAAGTTTTAAAAGATAACATTAAACGTATTTTCTCCCTTTTCTGGGCTTCCACAAAGCAAATAAGTCCAGACTTTACATTCCTGATATTTTAAATTAAAAGATGAGCAGAAACACACTTCTTCTCCACAAAATTAATATAAATCATAATGAAGAAAAACACAGCATAAGTCCAATTTTAAGATCCTTTACACATGAACTTTTAACTAAGCAATGATCCTGGGAGAAGTGATTATCGTAAGATAATTTCTCTCATTTCTTGTTACATAAAAATGTTATTTTTGTAATACTTATCAATAAGTCACACTATATAGTCCTTCCTCCCATGAAGGTATGTAGTAAGAAACTAATAACAGTTAGGCCAGGTCTACACTTGGAAATTATTTTGAAATAACTACATTCAAAATAATAACTCCTGAATTAACTATTTTGAAATAAGCATATTCCCCCAGGAAAGCAGGAACACAGATTTCAAAATATCCAGCCCCTTATTTCGAAATAAGAAGTTTGGTAGTGTGCACGTTCTGCTTATTATTTTGAAATAAGGGGGGAGGTTTCTTTTGAAATAACTCCCTAGTATGGACCAGGGCTTAGATGCTTGAAATAAATGAGGAAGTAATGATAAAAGCTTAGTGTTATAAATTCCTTGATAAGACATTTATACGGAACATATACGTATTTATCTGTGCTGATTCTTCCTCTGCAACCCCAGTGTATCTGTAGAAGTCTATCATGCATGCAGTCAGAAAACTGACACTGAGTGGAACAAGCTGAGCTACTGCAGCCTCTACAAGGTTAATGTCTTGGCCAGTTATATCACCATATCAGGCAGAGTATAAAAGGAAGGGGAACCTGGATTCTGTGGTTGACTAAAATGAGGTAGGCCTTTGGGGAATTACTGCCCAGTGTTTTTTGTCAGTTGATTTGCTTTCTGTTTTGTGACTGTTTGTTGGATAATAAACCATGAGGAAAGAGCCAACAGCACTTGAACCTTAAAGCTTTGTTTCCATTCCCACTGAGCTAGAAACATTCTTATAATGAAAAAAAAGAGAGAGATTATTTAGTAGTAAGATGATTCCAGGAGCTGGGGCTTTAAGAAAATTGCCAGATTGTTGAGACAATCATGGGAATATCTAGCAATATTGTGACCTACTTACAAAAATTCAATGATAGTAAGGCAGTAAGGCAGCACTGCTTTTTTATTTAGATGTTTCCTTGAACTCTCATTTTCTGATTTTCTGTTTATGGTAACTACCTGTTGTTTTTTGTCTTATATTTGGACTATAAATATATAAAGGCAGGAACTATCTTTTCATTCTATTTTATACAGTGCCTGGCACAGTGTGGTCCTGGTTCATGATTGGGGTTTTTAGGTCCTACCACAATACACATAATTAAGTAAATAAATACATAAAATAAACAGTTAACTCTATATTGGTGAAACTCCATTTTGCGGATGCTTTTATTTTCATTAACGAATATTTAATATTGATTTAGCCGATGTC